TCCATCCATCCATCCATCCATCCATCCATCCATCCATCCATCATCTTTTACCCATTCTTCCTTTTTGGGGTCACTGGTGCCCATATCCAGCAGTCACTGTGCAAGAGGTGGGGGACACCCGGGACATGTCTCCAGTCCATCACAGGGACACATAGAGACAAACGAGACAAAAAAAAGTCCCTCTCTCACTCTCAGCTGGGGACAATTTAGAGTTACCAATCAGCCGAACGTGCATGTTTTTGGTCTGTGGGAGGAAACCAGAGTGCTTGGAGAGAACTCGGACATGCAGGGAGAGCACAGGCAAACTCCACCCAGAAAGGCCCTCGGGCCGGGATTCAATCTGGCAACCTTTTCGCTGAGAGGCAACAGCTTCTACCAACTGTGCCACAGTGTTGCCCATTCCAAAATAAAATTTATATTCAATCTGGAAATGTAGTTTATGCTACAGGAAACCTGTTGGAGAGGTCTCATTTGTGAATTTAATTAAAGGATAAATCTAGCTTTTGAACACAATAACAATACTAACACACACTTCTTAGTATTCCAAGACAAAACTTCAAAAACAGACTGATTAGCAATGCTGGTATTTCAGATATACTAAATTTTTTTTCATTCTAACAGAAGGATTTCACACGGTTGCAATCGTTACAAATTTGGAATATCCTGACTGTAAGAAACTAGAATAGAATGAGACTATTTGGTTTATAATATTAATAGAACAAATAGCTAACCATTTTAAACAAACTTCAGGAAACAGCCCTACAGCAGGACTGAGAGTGAGAATGGGATGCTCTAACTGTCAAGGTTGTTCTGACATCTCTTTTTTCATCCATGACTTGGTGCTCGCTTTGGTTTTTGAAACTTGATTGTCAATAAATGTAATTTTAAAACTATTTACTGCTGTATTTAGTACTATTAGTACTATAAAAACAAGTTATGCTGTCATATCTGGTCACCAGATGTTAGTGGGTTGTATTATACTTCAAAACCAATGAGAGGCCATGGAAAGTTAAAGACCCAGAAAGTTTAGGTCTGGTGGTTCTTAACCCTTATTTTAGGCAGTGTTTATAATGGAATATCTGCATCTTAAAACATTAATCCCTATCATTTACAATCATATCCCAAAGAGTCCCGATCTGTTGGCAACATGTGAGAAGCTGAGGGAAAATGGTTCAAATTTTAATTCTGCTAAAAAATAAATAAATCAGACCAGGCTGCTGAGGTGAAAAACTGGGAAATGATCAAAATCATAATAGTTAAAATGAGTACCATCTCAAGACAATTTTTGTGAATGTATAGGAAGAATGAGGTGGTACAGTGGCAACGCTGGTAGAGCTGCCAATTCTCAGCGAGAAGGTCACTGGTTCAAATCCTGGCCAGAGAGCTTTCTGGGTAGATTTTGCATGTTCTCTCCATGCATGCGTTGGTTGTCCTCGAGTACTCCTGTTTCCTCCCACAGAACAAAAACATGCATGTTAGGCTGATTGGTAACTCTAAATTATCCCTGGGTGTGAGTGAGAGAGTGAATGGTTGTTTGTCTCGTTTGTCTCCGTGTCCCTATGATGGACATGCGACCTGTCCAGGGTGTCCCCCGCCTCTCGCACAGTTATAGCTGGACATGGGCACCAGTGACCCCTGCAACACAAAAAAGAAGTGGGTAAAAGATGATGGATGGAAAGAATGTTGAAAGATGACTTTGACCAGCTGGATTGGCAGTTGGCTATTGGATTGGTGTGAAGATGCTGTGCTTGCATTTAAAAAAATAAATTATCAACCATTCCGTATGAGCTAAATCTAATATGCTGATAAGTAAATGTTGACACTCCATTAGCCTGAGCAAAATGTTACATGAAATACTGGAGAATAGTTAAAAAAAAAAGTTCAATAAAAAAACAACTGGACTTTATTTGTAACAGAAGACGTTTCGCTCCTCATCCGAGGAGCTTTCTCAATTCAAAGAGCAGAGAGATTCAGGTTATAAGGCTGAGTGAGATAAGATAAACATACATATGTAGATTGACAATTCACACCTCAACACCTTAACAGTAGGGATTTCTTAAGGTATTTGTTACTCTAATTCACAGATGAGTCCCCTCTGTTCCCATCAGGTGTGAAAACTGGCTGGGAATCAGTCTTAAAGTTGATAAATTTGTTGATAAAGATTACTGATACAGTTGATAAATACTGGCTCCTTGTTCGTACGAGGATAGTCTTTAAAATTATTCTGTTGACCTTCAAGTGCTTAAATGGCCTCGCACCCCTTTACCTCTCTGAGCTTCTGGAACCTTACGTTCCCTCTCGGGTCCTGAGATCATCCGATCAGCTGCTTTTGGCTGTTCCAAAAACACGACTGAAGCTCAGAGGAGATCGGGCTTTTTCAGTCATGGGCCCCAAACTCTGGAACAACCTGCCCCCCAACATCAGGCAGGCCACCTCCCTTCCTCACTTCAAATCCCTGCTAAAAACACATATTTTCTCACATTTCACACAGTGTAAATTATGTTTTAAATGCTTTTTTTTAAATTAATTTTTCTGTTATTATTATTAGTGTATTGTATTTTTTTCTCTTTAATTTTACTCCCATTGATTGTTGTTGTTAAGCACTTTGATAACAGGTTCTGTTTTAAATGTGCTCTATAAATGAAGCTGACTTGACTTGACTTGACAAATAAAGTCCAGTTGTTTTTGTGTTGAACGTTTTTTTGAATTTATCATGTCCTGGATGACTGAGAATCTTCACCAGCACTGGAGAATAGTAATTCTTTTATCAGCCTAACATCTGTTTGTGATGCAGAAAAAGCTTGGTTACTTGGAGCATGCGAGGCTCGGAAAACATAAATTTAATCTGTGCAAGTACATATAATGTGCACAACAACGTATATATGTACAACTGTGATGGGCTTACACTATCATAAATACTTGTGTTTGTGCCCTTGACAAGGGCGTCAGAAGCATCCATAATGTGGGGGGGACACAATGATATGTGTAGGTGCGTGTTCACGCGTGAGTGCATGTGTGTGTGCGTAAAAAAAAGGTGTTCACTAGTGTACAAAAAAAAGCAACATTTCACCTAGATTTCCTTTAATTCCACACATTTAAAGCATGTTTTATGCTGAGGCAGGAGGAGACGCACAGAAACACTGCAGGTGTTACACCATATTCTGTGACCACCTTATATTGTGACCGTGGCAACAGGCTGCTGTGTTTAGAGTTGGAGGTAACCAGGAAAACCTGGAGTGGAGTTTTAGTGACCTGAGTTTTCTCCTGTTCATCAAATGGAATGGATTTGTTCACGAAGAAAGAGAAACTGCGCCGACTGAACTAATGTTTTATAGTAAAAGTGTGTGTGTGTGTGTGTGTGTGGGTGTTTCCAAATGAATGTTTTTTTTTAATGTGTGTGTGTGTGTGGGGGGGGGGGGGGGGGGACTTGTCCCCTTCACATGTAATGGTTGTGACGCCTATGGCCCTCGTAATGAATTATATGTGCATTTTTTGTGGAATTGTGGGCCAGAAGTCCTTAAGTTACTGACTAAACTCTTGACTTGACTTGAGTTAAAAGTAAATCTAAAGAATGCTATTAGTGCTACATAGCATCATTTACTAATTTAAATGCAGAGTTCACTTTCTTGGAAAAAGGCTCTTTGACATAAAGCATCCAGAAATCAAACCACCAACACTACTTTTTACAAAAGTCCATATTTTTTTTTGTAAAAGCACAAAAAACAGCTGAAAATGTTTATAATTAATCAGAACTCAAAGGAAAAAATGGACCTAAAACAACAATAAAATGATTGTTTTTATAGCATATGTTTATTTGCAGAGAGTAATACAGTACAGTACATGATTTAAAATACTATGCTTGTCAACGTGTTACTGCTCAACTATTGTCACATCAGACTGTTTATTAGCATCCAGCTGGATGTTATCTGCTAACTAGCAGATAAAGAGAATAGTCTTGCTGTCTGTAGTTTGATCTTCAGATGTTCAGTTATGACCGTGATTGACAGGCTCATAAATGATGGTTTCCCCATTTAATTGTTTGATTATCTTCACTAAAATTAAGATGTCACAAAATTATTGTCTTCTAATTCAGACCCTTTCTTTTAACCATAATTGTTGTGCTAAGATGCAAAAACTGAATGGAAAACCCACGCAAACACATGTACTGAAACTTTGACCTGATTTTAATTTCTTACTGTTTTGTTTGTCTGCCTGCATTTGTCCAGGTTGGTCTGCTGAGTGGCATTTCTCTAATTGTGGGGACTATGATTGGCTCAGGGATCTTCATTTCTCCTAAATCTGTTTTGCTGTACTCAGGAGCTGTGGGACCTTGTCTTCTCATCTGGACCGCCTGTGGAGTTTTAGCCACTTTAGGTGAGGCTTATGTCCATCACTTTTAAAGATGACCCCATGTTCGTGCTGCTGTGGTTCGTCGTATTGTTTTTGTACTATTTGTACTTAATGTATTCTTAGTTTTAGCATCTTTCTTAGTTCATATCTTAGATCTTATTACTGTTTTTCTTTACAATTTATACTTTTGTTGGATGTAACTGGGACCCTGTGTACACAATTTTGTTCCACCACATGCACAACAAGTGTAGTGGAATGACAATAAAGAACCTTGCACACAACACCATTTCAGAAGACATTGTTTTTCTATAAAATTATTTCAACTTAAACTAAATATGTATAATAAATCTGTCACAAAATAAAACACTGTCAGATGTGTTAGACCAGGACTGTTCAACTAAACTGCTCAGGAGGGCACAGTTACTGAAAGGCAGCAGCTCAGGGGCCGGACATCCAGCAACTAAAGTCCATCCATCCATCCATTTTCTTTACCCGCTTATTCCATTTTGGGTCACGGGGGTCGCTGGTGCCCATGTCCAGCAGTCACTGTGCGAGGGGCGGGGTACACCCTGGATGGGTCGCAGGTCCATCGCAGGGCCACATAGAGACAAACGAGACAAACAATCATTCACTCTCTCACTCACACCTAGGGACAATTTAGAGTTACCAATCAGCCTAACATGCATGTTTTTGGACTGTGGGAGGAAACCGGAGTACCCGGAGAAAACCCACGCATGCACGGAGAGAACATGCAAACTCCACCCAGAAAGGCCCCTGGACCGGGGTTTGAACCAGGGACCTGCTTGCTGAGAGGCAGCAGCTCTACCAGTTGCGCCACCGTGCTGCCGCAACTAAAGTCATTATATAAATAAACCAAGTATTACAAATATCTGTTACCTTTTAAATCTGTTTATTTTGTAGCATTGAATCATACATGCAATAAATAGAAGCCAAAACCCAAACCCAGGACTCTAAAATAAATAAATAAATAAACCAGGTCCGGGGGCCTTTCTCGGTGGAGTTTGCATGTTCTCTCCGTGCATGCATGGGTTTTCTCCGGGTGCTCCGATTTCCTCCCACAGACCAAAAACATGCATGTTAGGCTGATTGGTAACTCTAAATTGTCTCTAGGTGTGAGTGAGAGAGTGAATGGTTGTTTGTCTCGTTTGTCTCTATGTGTCCCTGTCATGGACTTGCGACCCGTCCAGGGTGTACCCCGCCCCTCGCACAGTGACTGCTGGATATGGGCACCAGTGACTCCTGTGACCCGAAAAGCAAGAATTGGGTAAATATAATGTATGGATGGTTATTCAGTTTCTTTGTCAAACTAAGCTGTGATATTCTCAATTGAGTAGAATTTTTGTTTCCATTTTCTGGTTGCAACTTTCACATCCTACGAACTAAATTGGACCTGAATATGTCATCAGTTTACGCCAGCTGGTACAATAAAGGAAACCCTCTGCTGTAGCCGTAAAGCAATAAATACACCTCTGTAGAAAAAAAAATCAGTTCAGTAGTTAAATAGCAGGCAAACAATATTTGACAAAGACAAGAAAAGAAATGGAAGTAAAATCACAAAAGCTGGTCTAAATAAAAGTTGTTCAGCTTTTAGCAACACTGTCAGAAGAACATCAAAACAGTCAAGATGCAACAGTTTGAACATATTGTTCTTTTAGGTTTTTAATAATAATTTCTGGTGGTTTACTTTACAGTAACCGCTAGTTAGTAATTTTTTAATGTTATACTCTGAACAACACTGTGATCAGCTAAGTTTTAAGTGATGTAGCGTTTTAAACTTTGACTTACTTGACACCACAGTGAATCATTGATGCATAGAAATGATTCAACTTGCTGCAGTGATGAAGGTTAGGCAACAGTCTTTTCAAAGGTTCTATTCAATTTATTATTATTTTTTCTTCAATTGAACCTTTATTTATACAGATTAGTCTCACTGAGCCTCGAGGACTCATTTACGAGAGACCTGTTTTAAACAAAAAGCACAGACGAGGTACACACAACAGTAGACAATGATATAAAACGTCTGATCTAAATCAGTCTCTCCAACCGTCCACATCTATTCAACAATTGAAGAATAGACTTAGAAAATCAATATAAGTAGAATAAAACACAATATCACAGTCACACAGTGTTCTGCCAAAAAATGCGAGCGTTCACAGATAAGACGTTTATTGCTTTCTGGTGGCATTATATGATGTTGCACTTCAAACTAATTAACCATAACCAGAGCTACTCTTCAATTAAAGGAAGAAACATGATCTCATGTTTTGCCATCACTTAACAAGCAACACTCTGTTATGTTGGAGTAACTATATAAATCTTTTCCAATGTTCAAAAAAAAAAAAAAGTCTCAATATCCTAATTAGTTTGCCAAAAAGCTTCCTCTGTCTGTAAAATTAATTCCAGTTCAAAAGCTGGCTGATTTGGGATTAAATAAACTGATCATCTGTTGTAATTTATCATCTTTGGATGAGACCTAAAGGCTTACAGAAGCAGGTTTATGTGATGTGAGAGATGCAGAGAACATCTGTCTGCCATCTTTACAAAAAAAAAGCAAACAAAAAATGTGTATCTTGTGCAAATTTTTGCAGATTTGTTGCTATTAAAGCTATACTGTCAGCTATTTACAGCCTTCTGACTTACAACATGCGGTAAAATAAGAAAGAATTACATCAGCCATTATCAAATGTTTTGCTTAGGAAAGTGTGATTGATGCTGTAAATCAAAAGGTGCGTTGAACTTTTGAGTCTTTGTGATTTTAATTTTAACATCACCAGATTTATGAGTACTTGTTTTATGAAGATTATAAAATCTCATCATTTTATCACTTATTCCTCTAGTTATCTAAACTGTTAACAACAGTGTACCACAAACTTTCAATCTTAGGACTCACCCTCTTCACAATCTACACAAGTAATGTAGGTCAGAGCATCCCTGATGCATCCTTACATTTCTATGCCAATGACACCAGTGTTTATGGTAGAGAGAGAACAGTTGCTATGGTTTTCCAGCTTTTACAGTCTGCTTTTGACATCATCCAGTCAGATTTGTTCCATCTCAGACTTGTTCTAAATGCTGACAAAACACAACGGATGTTGTTTTCAAACAGAAAATCGGTTCCAGCAGATCTTCCTTCTATTTTATCTTGGAATGGGGTCCCTACTGAGTTTGTAGATTCTTACAAATACTTGGGTATTTTGGTTGACTCGCATCTCTCTTTTAAGCCCCATGTCAAACATTAGGTAAAGACACGGAAAGTAAAACTGGATTTATTTTTCAGAAATAGGTCCTGTTTAACTCTGAATGCTAGGAAACTCCTTGTAACTACAATTTTTCTTCCCTCCATTGACTATGGTGACATTATTTACATGAATGCTCCTGCAAGCACCTTACAGATGTTGGATGCTGTCCTTCACGGTACGCTAAGATTCATAACTGGCTGTAAGTACCGTACCCATCACTGCACCCTGTACTCACTGGTTAACGGGACATCATTAACTTCACGCAAACTCTCAAACTGGTACATTTTCATCTTTAAATCACTTCTTGGTCTGTTGCCTTCATACATCTCCTCCTACATGTCATTATGTGAGTGCAGCTACAGTGTGCGCTCTCAGGACATAATTACATGCAGTGTTCCCTCAGTGTGAACTGAACTAGGCAAAAGGGACTTCTACTACTCTGCTCCATTTTCCTGGTATATCATGCAAAAGATATGAATCTCTCGACCTTGGCCCCTCTAAGTGACTTTAAAGAACTGCTAAGTTCATGGCAAAAACCAATGCAGACATGTTCCTTTTCCAGACATGTTTGACTGATGAAGCCTTCCGGATCGAAGGCGAAACGTTTCAGCACAAAAAAAAAGACACTGTCCAGATGACGTGACTGAAAAATGTTGGATTTTATACCTGGATTATTGAGCATAGGCTTTGTTGTTTTCAACCAGTTTGACAAGACTGTCAACAAGGAAGAGGGCTGGCAATGGAGGAGGGGCGTACCAAAGAGACCATCTAATCACAAGCAGAACTGGTTTGTTCCATTTTGAAGTAAGCTGTTGGGGGAAGAATCAGTTTTGTTGTGTGCTTCCTTGACTGATGAAGCCTTCCGGATCGAAGGCGAAACATTTCAGCACAAAAAAAGAAACTGTCCAGATGACCTGACTGAAAAATGTTGGATTTTACCATACCATACCATACCATACCATACCATACCATACCATACCATACCATACCATTTTACTTATAGAGCACTTAAAACAGCGACAAGGCCAACCAAAGTGCTGTACAGACAGAACACCAGGTAACACACAAAGCAAAATACAAAATGAGGTAAATCAGAATATAGACATAAAAACGATGCAGATAATGACGACTAACCAGTGTGGAGCATACAGGTTCAAAACACAGATCATCTGTTGTTGAAAGCCACCGAATAGTATTGGGTTTTTAAACTGGACTTGAAAACCGAGAGGGAGGGGGCCTGTTTGACAAGCAGAGGTAACTCGTTCCAAAGTCTTGGTTCTGCTACAGAGAAGACCCTGTCACCTCTTCGCTTAAGACGAGTTCCTGGAACTGTGAGGAGCAACTTTATACCTGGATTATTGAGCATGGACTTTGTTGCAGACATGTTCCTGTTTTTAGTATTTTATATCGCTTTGTAATGTAGCTGTTTTTGATCCTTTTTTATATAATTTCTTCCATTTACTTTTCATTGTATATTATTTTTTATGATTGTCTACTGTTGTCATCATTCCTTGTTTAAAACAGGTCTCTTGTAAACGAGTTCTCGAGGCTCAATGAGACTAACCTGTATAAATAAAGGTTGAATTGAATAAAAAAAAAAAACACACACAAGTAACAAAACCCAAAAGACACAAGAAACTAAACAAATAAAGAGAAAAACAGTCTATGACAAGCACATAATCAAAAATGAAATGATTACAATAACAAATAAATCAAGCAATTCAGTATAATTTTACAAAATCCTTGATAATTAGTAACATCAATAACTAATATATGAAGTACACATTTCTCTGGCATAATTTTTTTTAAATTGGTTCAATCTTTATTTATACATGTTAGACTCATTGAGCCTCGAGAACTCATTTACAAGAGAGACCATCATAATTTGAGACACCAGTTTCATACATTTTAATTAGTTTTTCCGAACAAAGATATTTAAAAACTCATTATGCCCAAGTTTTTACTTTGTATTTGTATATTTTTAACGTTTCCCTGTTTCTGTTTTTCTGTGTTTTGTACTCAGGAGCTTTGTGCTATGCTGAACTTGGTACCATGATCACCAAATCAGGAGCAGAGTATTCCTATTTAATGGAGGCTTTTGGCAACCTCTTGGCCTACCTTTACTCCTGGACCTCTGTCATGGTGCTGAGGCCCTCCTCCTTTGCAATCATCACTCTAAGCTTTGCAGAGTACGCGTCTGCTCCTTTCTACCCAGGCTGCACTCCTCCTCTTGTGATTATCAAGTGTCTCTCAGCAGCTGCCATAAGTAAGAATACAATTAAATGCAGACAATGTGTAAAAATGGGCTTTGTGAATTATTTTTAATCATCCTTAGGCCATTTTTAAGTTATGACTGTTTTTCAAGCAAATAAAAATGTGTCAATGATTTAAAAATTATGTATAAATACCAAATAATTTCAGACATAGACTTGAGTAAGGGCGGCACAGTGGCACAGCTGGTAAAGCTGTCACCTCTCAGCAAGAAGGTTGTCGGCTCCAATTCTGACTGGGGACTTTTCAGGGTGGAGTTTGCATGTTCTTTATTGTTGCCTCTATGTGGCCCTGTGATGAACATGAGACATGTCCAGGGTGTCCCCCGTCTCTTGCACAGTGATTGCTGGATATGGGCACCAGTGACCCCCTTGACCCAAAAAGGAAGAAGTGGGTAAAAGTTAATGGGTGGAAGGACTTGAGTAAATAAAACAAATATGTCTGCTAATTTATTGTATTAAGTTGATAAAACCACAGTTACTGTAATCTAAAGGAAATCTGAAACACATTTTAAAAGTAAAGTTAAAATTGAATATGTTTTTATTTTTGGACAATTTCAGCTGCATCTTATAGAATAATGCACGGTCATTGACATACTGGTAATTCAATCTCTTGTTTCTTCTCAGTTATGATCATCTTTGTGAACTGCTTGAGTGTGAAACTAGCAAGTTTTGTGCAGAACCTTTTCACAGCAGCCAAACTTGTCATCATAATCATCATCGTGCTAGCTGGCATCGTTCTGATGGCTCAAGGTGAGCCCTTCTGGGCTTTCAATTGTCTTGGTTTAAAATATGCACATCTGATGTGAGGATGTGTCTCTTTATATTGCTACATGCTTTTAAAAATGTTTTTTGTGATTTCTTGTTCAGGAAACACCGAGAACTTGTCAAATGCCTTTGAAGGCTCAACAACTTCTGTTGGAGCAATTGGACTTGCGTTTTATAATGGGCTCTGGGCTTATGATGGATGGTAACAGTTAATCTCCACTTCACTTTCACCATTTTACAATCGGCATAAAATTGAAAAAAAAAAAGTGTATTTTTAAATCTGTTTTATTTTTTCATTGACTGTTGTGTTGACTGATAGGGTTGACTATGAACCTGTCCAGCATCTAACGCTGTAAAACATACTCTTTAAATACAGTGAACTATCTTTTACTTTCGCTTTTCTAAATGAATGGAATTAATTTAGAGCGCAAACTGTTTTCTCAGTCTGTAAATAGAGGAACAGTTGACAAATCAAAACACTCTGTAACCTAGAAATTTGGTGATGGAGCGAGAATATGTGAAGGCAGCTGCTCTGTTGTCATGAACATGGGCTGTGGTCAGTACCACAGACTCCTGCACCTGAGGCGTGAACCCACGTTGCACCAAGAAATGTCATCTTGCATAAATTACCCCTAATTTGAACACAAACCTCAGATTGCTAACTTACTTTTAGGATTTAACCAGCTACTTTTGAAGGATGTTAAATACAGATCTTTATATTCAACACCATGTAAGTAATACTTTGATTACATCTTTCACAGAGGTTGTTGTTCGTGATCACAGAGCAAACTATTCAAATTTACTTTAACAGGTAAGACTTCAAGGGATTTCATAATTGTTTTTTAATATCTCATGGTTTCACCAGGAACCAACTAAATTTCATCACAGAGGAGCTGAAAGACCCACACAGGTAAAATATGGATAATTGTAAAATAGTATAATTTCTGCTCAACAAAATATTCATGATTTAATTGCACATTTCTTAAAGAGACTGGACAATATGCAAAGATGAATGTATAGACTGCTTTATATCTAACAATAAATAATAATAATTAAAAAAAATATCTGCTGATATAGTGTTTTTTTTTTTTTTTTGTTGATTTCCTCCAGAAATTTGCCTCTGGCCATCATCATTGGGATCCCTTTGGTTACTGTGTGCTACGTGTTGATCAACGTTGCTTATTTTACTGTTATGACCCCCACTGAACTGCTGTTGTCTCCCGCTGTTGCTGTGGTAGGGACAACTGTGCTTTTAAACTCTGAGAGTTACAACATTTTGCATATAGTAATTCATAAACATGATGCAAATATTAATAGGCATTAATGAGAACTTTCTAAAATAAGCTAATCATCACTGCACACATAAGAGGTTTCATTTCTTTTGTCCTCTGCGCGCTGTAGATTAAATCTCAGTAACAATCCATTTGTTCCACTCCCTTGTCTTTTCTGAAACATATTTTTCTGCCTCCATAGACTTTTGGAGACAGAGTCCTTTACCCTCTGTCTTGGATTGTTCCTCTGTTTGTCGTCTTCTCGACATTTGGTTCTGCAAACGGAAGCTGCTTCACTGCTGGCAGGTAAAACAGACCAGTTACACACTGATGCCTGATTTTAAAGGATGCGCTTGAAGATTGGTCGTTTCCTTTATGTTTGAGTGTGATAACAGAAAGGCTGCTGACAAAATAAAAACATGTAAGAAATCTGTTGTAAAGTGTAATAACGATGCGCGATTGTCTTCCTTTTCCACCAGATTGTGCTATGTAGCTGGCAGAGAAGGTCACATGGTGAAAATTTTATCCTACATTAGTGTGAAGCGCAACACTCCTTCCCCTGCTCTCATATTCCATGTACGTTAATATATTTTCTTACATTAGATGTGCTCACAGATGACGCTTTCACACCCGCTTTTGAACTATTCAACTATAGCATTTTGATTGCTGATTTGCAAACAATAAAACATATATATATATATATATATATATACATACATATATGTACTGTGTGCTTGCTGTTTGTTTTACAGGGGGTTTTGACACTGTTCTACATCATACCAGCAGACATCAACAGTCTCATTAAGTACTTCAGTTTTGCTCAGTGGGTGTTTTATGGGCTGACAGCTTTGGCTCTCATCGTGATGCGTTTCACCAGGAAGGAACTCAAAAGACCCGTAAAGGTGAATCTCTCTAGAAATTTAGTAATGATGTCTGAGCAATTTATTTTAATGTATTCATGCAGACTAAAAT